TTATACACATATCAAGACAGAAAATCAGCCTGGTACTTAAGCTGAAGATCAAAACAGGTTTCAAATAAGGTAAGACTAAGTGATATGATATTCTTAATCAAAACTGATCCCTATCTAAGAAATAAAGTTAGATAGTAAAATATTCTGACATTTAAGGAAACATAAGACAAGTTCTCTTAAGAGATAAAGATGAATTGCTGAAAGAATAGATGATCACAAAGAAAAAATAAGACAGGCTTTATATAAAATATATATGCTAATAGAAGTTATAAAGATTCTGTATAAGAGATCTCTAACACCAGTGATACTGAGTATCTTAGGTAAGTTCTTGATACATTAGTCTCTTTATATAAGTATAACAATAAGTTATCCAGTAGATCACAATTCTAGGAAGTATCACTTCAGTTACAGGAGGTTTAAAAATATAGGTAATACCTCATTAAATTGATAAGTTAAAATATCTTCAGATTCTTTAACTTAATTAAGAATTAAAAAAATCTTATATTAGATGGTTATATAGTTTCCCTATTCTGATTAAGTGAGATATAAATAAATACTCTTTGTACTATTCATTGATCTGTAAATCTTTAGACACTACAGATAATTGCTTATCCCAGTTGTTTCTATAATTTGTCTTAATAATTAATAAAAATTTGATGCTAGTGCAAGAATGAGCTAGTATGATTAAAAAAAAAAATTGGGCTGTTTTGTCTTTAAAAAGCTTTAATATTCTTTTAAATCTTGGAATAATTGAAGTAACTTAATTTATAAATAAGTTTAATTGCTTTTGAGATTTTTTTTAATGTCAAAAAAGATATTAATTTGTATTAATTTGACTATAAATATATGAAGTTGATATTGGTTTTCTTATTCTAACTGTAAATCAGTTTTCAATTATTATTATTTTTTTAAAAAAATATTAAGAAACATAAATATAGAATAATAGTTAATAAAATAGTATATATCTCTATCTTTGATATTTTTAAATAAATAGTTTTATTATATATTTTATTATATTAATTTAAAAAATATATTGTTTTTTTATGTATTTAGATTGATTATTTTTTTAAAAAAATTATTATAAAAGAAAATTTTTTGAAAAAAAGAAAATCAATAAAAAGAGTTTTTATAAAAAATTTATAATAATAATCTATAGTTAATAAAGTTTATAGTTAAAAAAATAATTATTTAAATAATAATTGTTAACCTTAATTAATTATTATATTTTTCTTTAATTATTATTTATGATTCTTATTTATCATATTATTCTAGTTTTATTTTTTGATTATGTGACATATGTAATATAAGATATGTTTCATTAGTTCATAGAAAAGATTCAATTATTAGAACAAAGTAATGATTTATATAATACATATTATTTAATTTCTTTATTTTATTATTATATTTTAATTATATTTAGATAGCAGGTTATCCAAGTAAGCAGATCTGATATATTAATTTGATTTGTAAATATGATAGATTTAATTACTTTAATTATTTTGATTATTAAATAATTAATATTAATTATATATAGTATATAAAAATTAGTTGTTTAAAGTAATTGACTTAGGATTTTATCTATTGAATTCTTCTTCTTTGATATTATATATCACCAATAAACTTTCTAATTAAATTAAATTATTCAAACCCTCTTTTAACATGTTTGTATAACCTTTAACTATTCTTGAATTATCAATTTTAATATACTATAATTGAGATATTTCCTTTCAACTTAAAGTGGATTACTGTTATAGTTGTCTTATTTATTTATTTAATTTAAAGATTATTGGATAGGTTAATAATATATTTAAGATTATATTTAAAAATAAATAAACAAAGAAAAATAAATTGATTATAAATTTAATTTTAGTATTGTAATAAAAATATTCTTTAATACTATCAAATAATTATTTTTAATCATAATTTTTTTGCATAGTTTTTTTTTATCAATTTAATTATAATTATTTTTTTAATATTTTTAGCAATACTTAATTAGTATAGATTGTTTTATCAAATATAATATATGATTTAATTTATCACAAATTAAGTAATCTAAAAAATCTAAAAAATTCAAAATCTAAAAGATCAAAGAAATGAAAAAAACTTGGAAGGTTTAAGTAGTTAAAAAAATTTATGTTTGCAAATATAAGCAGTTTTAATTTACTTAAAGGTAGAATAGATTTGCAAAAATATTTTTACTTGACATTTGAAAAATTGAATATCTTTTTTTAAATATTAGGACTAAAGAAATTATTATTTTTTTTTTTTTTTGATTTATTAATAAACTTAAGTTTTGAACAAATTATATTTCTTGTAAAACATTGTATACCATTTTTAAAAGGATTTTATATAATTCTATGTATGATCACTTCTTTATTAAAATAAACCACTTGAATCCTTTCTTTGAAAATAGGCCTTTTAAAAATAAGTTCACTTGGATATACTGGTTAAATATAAATTCGATCATAGTATTACTTAAATAACCATAATACAGTATATGTATATGGTTTACTTTAATTTAATAAAAAATATATAACAAACCTAATGAAATTTATAATTAAAATAATAATAATAATAATAATAATAATAATAATATACAAAAATTTAATATTAAATTGAACAATATTTAAGATAAAAGATTTTTATATTCTATGTTAATAAAATCGAGTAAAATTCGAATTCAAGCATTTCAATATATGCCAAATAAAGTTTAAGTACTGTAATAACAAGTCACTTGCTAAAGCAATGATCGCAAACATTCATAGGCATCAAAATTCTAACAAGAAAAAAAAACTTTTTTTCAGAAAACATAAAGAGGGATTGTATTTATAAAATATCGCATTATACTGTGAATAAAAAGCAAAGGTAATATTACAATATTTATTTATAAACCAATAAAGCTATCAATTAATAAAAGTCAATTGCGGAATACTGTTTATCTTTGTTTAACCAATTTTGCTTAATAAAGTTTTTTCACGCAATTTAATAACGAAGTTTCACGAAGGCGGTTATACAGTATGTGGAACGAAATTTAAGGTCGGAAATTGCACAAGGCTTTGCAAATTATTGTGTGCCAGAATGCTTTCAGAAGAATCTTTAGGATTTGCGTACGATGTACCGTATCTTTTTTGTTTTTGATGATGACAAAAAAAATCATATTTGTACTAGATTTCATGGATTTTTTTTTCTGATCCGTAGTCTGAACGAAACATGATGCATGATCAAGTTGCAAGGGTTCTCTCGCGAAATCCGAGATATTGTTCAATCACACGTTTTCTTACCTCCGAGAGGATGGGTTTTGAATAACTGGATGTCAAGATTCCATTGTTGGGCAATGTGAACCTTCCTTCTACATCAAAGTCACTCTGGTAAGTTAAGATCACGTGCGTGGAATGACAAAAATTGCAAAAGTTACAGCACCCAGTATTCCCATGTTGTCCCCAACCATAGTACTGACTGGGCCATCAGTGGCTTAACTTCGGAGATCGGACGGGTTCCGGTGCTTTTCACTGTGTATGGCCGTAACTGACGAAAGAATTGATTACTATAATCTTATATGTATAGACAAAGGTCATTGAAAGTAATATTGTAATATTAAATAATAGTTACCATACCGAAATCTTTTTATGCCGAAAACCCATATTATATTATGATAATTGTGATATACAAAACATATGATGCGAGGTGTATTCGTTTAAATTGCGATACAGTATTTCTTTCGTCCCGATCAAAAGGTGCGAATCCTTTTTTTACCAATCAATCCAAAAAATAATCAGGTGAGAGGTGATTAGAAAAGCAAAATTGAGTATTCAACGATATCATGATCACTTTGAACGAATCAAGCTAAAAAAAAAAAAAAAAAAAAAAAAAAAAAAATCTCTTGCGAGATATTGATTTGAAAATCTTTAACAATACGATTTAATAATGTCATTATCCATGCCACATAAAAAACCCATATTAAAATAATAATAATAGCAAGAATAAAAGGAATATTTCTAATAATGCAAAGTCATGCATGTCGGATAAAAGCGATGGAATTGACTTTTCAAGTGAGTTTCAATTTTCAACAAAAACAAACAAAAATATGTAGCATATATACAGTATACTGTATATCACATTATAATCTTTAAAAAAATAATGATCATACGATAAAAATTATTGCTGTTTATGCTTTAATAAATTTGTCGAGCGGTAAAATAAATTTGTCCAATGGAAGAATGTGCGTAGATGCATAATTTAACTTGAATGTGTATGCTTAATTTTATCCGGATATACGGTTGTTTTTTTGAACATCAAAACATTTGAAAGCGAATGATTCGTCCTATGACGTTCGAGTGGCGAAATAATCATTGTCTCATTGTTAACGATCGACGATCCCACGAGAAATGGTAATCAGCGCAGCGCGAATAAAAGACCCCATGCACGATGGCTATCTGTGACAGGAGGCCTAAAAAAAGTAATATGGCATGCGCGTCCTAATTGGACTAGGCCACGAGGCAGATGTGGCGATTGCATGTGATCGATCACTTATGCATATAGCCCTGCGGGAAATACTAGCCCACCCTCTTCAATTCCTTCGTGAGAAACTTAGAATTGATGATTGGCATGTGGAAAACCACAAAATTAAATGCCATATTTGGTCACAGCCGCATAATTTATAATTCAGGATTTCGCTTGATTATCCTTTAATAATGTGCATGGCTGATATGTACAGTAATAACCCCACGAGGCGCCTTCCTCATAGTGCGGCGATAACTCAATTTCTAAATTAACAAGGTTCATTATTCTTGAGACTGCATGCAATGCAAAAACAACGACGAACAACAACAGCTACATTTGCTTTTCAAACTTTATCAAAATTTTTTTCATTAGTAAACGAAACGTGTTAATCCTAAAACCATTGCTCTTTGGAAACCGGATGTTTCACAGCGACTTTGTTGTATGAATTTTGCATATACTGTACGTGTGTATTTATAATTCGAATAATGTGACAGACTCCAATGACAAAGTTTTCTTCCACTGTTACGATATTGTGTCACATTCTTGTTATTCGTGAATCGGGTCACAACTACCATATCTGCCCAGCTGACACGGTCAACGTTCTCGTGACACTTCAGGTCATTAATCCAAATCAACGCTTTTTCGGTAACAATCAACCATTTTTAATTGCGACTCTTCACGTTACCCCGGTGTTCTCAAGGTTTGACACGCGACGTTGCCCATTTGTCATCTGGTCGTCCAAAAAAAAAAAGTAAGAAAAAAAAGCAATTGACTCTCGGTAACGCACTCATCTCCTCGATTAAACAAATAAGATCTGCCCGATTTTTTCGGGCCGAGGTTTAATTTGTGACATACTGCAAATATCAATTGGGAATTCATTAATTTCATTTGATTTTTAAATACCTGAATTATCCTAATGTACTTCTTAATTAGAAGAAGGATGGGGAAAATGATGTTGTGCGATGATCAATCAACTTTACTGTGGTATAAATAATGATTCAAATTTTTTCGGTGCAACAAAACAAATAAATTCCTCAAATTTGCTATCGATTTGTTGAACATTCCTCCTTCTCGACTCGCGCACAGATCCAATGATCCATTTGTTTATTTTACCTAAGCAATGACTGGCTCTCATTTAATTGGCAGGTCGTGACAAAGTCGGATTTCGTGCGCAAACTCGGACACCACGAAGCATGTGATGTGCAAATCCGAATATAAGCTGACGCAAAGATTCTTCGAAGAATTATCTTTATCTTTTCTTCTTTTTTTTTTTTTCCTGACACCTACCTGATATTTGAGCGCCTTATCATTGCCGTCAAGCTGATTTGGGACTGTGTCTGCGAAAAAAAGAATCCCGAAAGGTAAAATTGTTCAATTGCAGGTGAAAAATCAATGACATGCCCTGAATACCGTGATTCTCCAGAAAGTCACAAAAATACACACATACGTACACACAATTATAATTATCAACGCGCATGGAAATAACAAGGCCAGTCATGAGTGCGCCAAATGAAAAAGCATCGTTAATCGTTCTCGTATGATTCTTCAACACAATCTTCACGAGCGTGTTAGCTCGCTCTGGAAGTTTGGCGCGTGCTCTATACAGGCGATGTCGAACAAAGTGGTCATACTCACCCTCTCTTTCTCGATCTAACTAACCATACGACGATTCAGAATCCCTCCATCCTTAGAAATCAAGTCGTGTGTTGATCATGATTATTTGGATGCTTATTATGGTTGCTATGGGAATGCATGTAAAGGCATACTAATTAGTATCTGTGCACCAGGAGGTGCGTACGTCACAGAATCAGGTGGTTCGCGACAGATTATTTGCTTCACTCGAGTGCCTCAATGGAATGATGAATTGTGATAACAAGCGTCCCTTTTGGAGACTATTTTATTCTACCTATCTATTTACTGCATTCGCAAACATTTTTAACATTTTTAAATTTTTCACCATGCAAATTATCTGCTCATCTATTTTTCGACCGGTATGTTACCGGTTATTTTGAAATGACGTGCTCAACAAAGAGAGGCTTGTGTGAATTGTGAAACTCTTGTGACTATTGATAAAAATATATCATGATCATTATCGGTCATCGTCGGTCACCGAGTCGTCACCGAGTCAACGTCCCACTGATTGCCAAATTTACTATTGAAGAATGAATCACGTGTGGAACTCATTTCCAGTATGCCAAACATTGGTCCGATTTATTGTTAATGCGGTTGCCCTAAACCATTTACATGGTAAACTAATGACTGAATAATGATTGCTAAGGTACGTAAAGGATTCGTGAATAAAGAACTTGGGATCGACAATTCTATTTTTGCGATCGTACTAATGACGGCCAGTTAACATACGCATCTGATGATTGGATCAAGAGGAAGAAAAGAAAAGGAATCATTCGACATCGACGTGAATGCGCTTTTAGATCCTCAATCTTGGAAATAATAAAAAAAGAACATGGCGCCCTTTTTCCTTCTCACTCGACGACATCGTGGCGGCGCAGTCCAAAGTATATAAATTCATTGTCAATGAGCCCTCTTGGCACGAATCCTCGTGAGTGGCAAAGTCAACAACAAAGGAAGAGATACCTGATTGCATCCTCCTCCTTTGTCGTAGATCGAGAAAACTTGCTCCAGAAAAAAAAAAAAAAAAAAAAAAAAAAAGATCCTTCGTGACTACCATACATCTGAAATGCATTGCCAGAATTGGAATTGCTATGGTGGAGTATCGTCCGCCGAGAAAAAGCCTCGTTTCTTAATTTTACTGCATAAACTTTGCGTGCATCGACTCCGACCTCTGATGAGGAAATGATGGTTTTGATGTAAGTCATGCGCTGCCACAGCCAAACTGCTTGACACCGTGCATGACCTCGTGGCATTTGTTTATATCGATTGAACAATTCTTAATTGGAAAGAAAGAACGCCGTGAGCATTACGTGTAGATGGGTTGATCCGTGCCATTCGATTCTTCTGGCCCAAGTGTTTCATGAAGAAATCGGCACGGAACTCCCCCGCGCTATCGAGAAGCATCGTTCGTGCTCATTGGTCAGCCAGTTTAATTCACAATTTTAAAGGAAACCAGTACTTCGCATTATCTCGTCGGGTGAACATGTAAATCGTAATTATCGATCTGCGACCTAAAAAAATCTGAGCCCATTTTAGAAGCCCTGGTTTCCTATCATTCGTCGGTTTGTTTGGAAATGGCTAAAAGTGAGTGGGGTTGGTCAACGAACGATCAGACACTGTAATGAAAGGTCTGATGACGCCATAGCCCACGCGCTCTTGCAGGTCTCTCGGCCGGTTTTCTGACCTTTCCATTCTCGTACAAAAAAGTGCAATCGAGCCCTAACAAAGAAAACAACAACAACAAAAAAAAAAAAAAAACTTTTTACCGTTTACCAACGAGATACTTGTTGAATGAAATCATGACGGACAAATAAGATTCCGATGAAAAGAATTCTAATGAGGAAAAAAACTTGAGGCCCACTAGTTGAAACTGGGAAATCTCAAAAAAATGTTTGTTGAAAATGAAGCCCCCACACCAATCACCTAAGTGTATTTCACAGAATACGGTTTGTCGGATGTGACGTGGGGGCAGTGCGGGGGAGATGAAGTAGGAACCTGCGAATTATTTGCAGTTCATAAGAAAACAAAGCTCCCCGGAATGAAATCCTGTTGTCGTCCAGGATTCAAAATTCTATTAATGAAAAAAAATTTTCTTCGATAATGGCCTATTGTAATTAATATGATGACAATTTAATTCGTTGTATATTCTCGGTCGATGGCTATGTGGAATTCAAAACGATAGAAGTGACTTCCCCAAGATCAGGGTCGAACGAAGGATAACAGTTGGTAACCGGTTATACCGTTTATCATGTGAAAAAAAAAAAAAAAAAAAAATTAGATGTCAATAATCTTGCGTCAATCACCCTTGGCGCGACTCATGATATCAAGTGTGCCCCGATTTTATCTTTCATGTTTAGGAATCTTCATTAGAGACAACGGGTGATTGGCGAAGAGCACCTAGGCACGACCTACGGACGACACTTCGCAGTCTCGATGCCTTTTTACCCCTTACCATATCTCGTATCTCTACCCGTGCAGATCAAAAAGAAAACATTCCCACCGATCGGAGTAGTTGATAATAACCTCCGGTCAAACCTCGACGTGAACCGAAAATTGACAAAAAAAAAAACACAATTCAAGAAATATTTTTACGCCGCCATGAACCGTGATGCCCTCTGTTTGTGGGCGCAATTTCGGTCACAACGAGCCCCAAGGGGTATTCTCGTTGATTTAATAACAATAACAATGATGATTCTCATCAAACATTGATCTTTATCACTCTCTTCTAACGTAATGGGGAAAGAGAATGGCTGGGGGAAAAGGAAATGAGATGTCGAATCCTCGATCCGTACGACAACAACCACATGCACACAAGAATATGACCCGGAAAGATAAGTGCGAACGATAATATCTCGATATTGCAATGTGCTGCACACATTCTTTGTATACAGCAACTCACTTGTGTTTACGCTCACACTGACTTTTTGTTTTCTCGTATCACCTCGCCTTCTTTTGAGGCTCATGCAAATTTTAAATCTTACGTCCCCATGACACGTTTCATGCAAGGGGACTTCAAGGATGTCTTTGTGAAGGTAATAAAACGATTTCCCTACAGACAAAAGAAACTATTTCATAGACAATGTATGACAATGCCGAAATTCTGTCATCCGGATGTCCGATGTCCATTGTCTTAGTGCACAACCCAAACAGGTTTTATTGATTCATCAATAAAACGGTTTAATAATCAATAATAATCATCATAATAATATCATTATCACTATTCGCATTATTATGATTGTTATTGTTACTGTATTATTATTTTTTTTTATTGTATCATGAGTTCTAATGGTAGTGGTTATGCATTGCGTGAAGTTGATTTACACCGCATCGTCTCATCGCCGCACCACCGTTGCACAGGCAAATGAACCAATCGTAAAGAACTAGTAAACTTTGATGACGGAGGGAGCAGCTCGAAGGCGGGGAGTTGCGCCAAAGAATGATTTGTAAAGGGCAGAAATCGTTTAAAAAAAAAAAGAACACAAAACACGCGCACACTAAAACGCACATACTGTATGTTGAGTTCATAAGCAGATTATCCTCTCCTATACACTCTCTACCTGTTCCTACCTTTGCAAGTAATATCTCGGAGCTATCTTGTTAAATCATTTTGGGCATCTCTATTATCATCCTTAAGGAAATCCTGATCCGATGAAAAATAGATCAAATCGGGTAGTCAAGATGTTGATGATGTTTTTTGGTGACACCTCCGGCCTCCTACTTCTCTTTGTCTAAAAATTGATTGCATGCATCACAACTAGAGGCGACTGGGTTTACCTTGCATAGCTCATCCCACAAGGCACTTCGTGATTAAGCGTGTGATGCGAAATTTCTGATTTTAGATTTACAGAGTTTCTCCCCCCATACCGTGTTTCATCTCTCCCACATAGCATCGGCATACTCCTTTCGTTATCACATCATTTCTTCCAATACCGATTACGTCATCCGTAGAGGCGCAGCGCGATCAATCGGAGTTACATAACGAAACATTGACCGGCGGTACAAACCCAAACAATGCTAACCACATTAACACTTTGGTTTTTCTCCTCAGAAACTCCTATTAAGAAATGAGCAAGTGACCCAAATCCTATGCATCATGCATTTATGTTTTGCGGTCGTGTGACGCTTGCGGTATTTGTTAACGGTTACACCAAACCTTTAAGTAACGGTTATGCTAGGTTTAGGCATTCGCCTGAGAGTTTTGATTAAGCCACGAAAGACTCCTTCGTAGATTTGATACGATACGATATGAGGGAATAATGATCTAATGGTATTTGATAATGGTTTCGGGCACGTGATCCCGTTTGGTGACCCTTAACCCTGCATTCACTAATTACAAACAAACCAACTTCCTTGACCATTATAGAAATGAACTTCCACTCGCTAACCATTCGGATGCATGTTCTTTTTTTTTCCTATCGTTTCCTGATTCTATTGACCTACTTTGGCCTCGCTGAAAATAATCTACGATGTCGACTTTGTCGCACCTTTTCAGCCTCCAAAGAGTATGCTAAAACGAGAAATCGAAATGGGTAACGACTGATGAATGGCATTTTGATTTGTGCTCTTCTCATTTGATCCAGTAACGGCGATAGGTCTTCGTGGTTTGATCGCCCACAAGTTGAAACACGCCAGTTAATTTACAAATTAATGAGATCGGTGTCATATGAGAAGTGTGTTGAGCGTTACTGGTTTTGTGCAAACATCATCACCATTTTTTTTCTTTTTTTTCGTGCAGGACAAACTGTCAATAAATCAAAAGTGTCACCAATAACAACGAAATACATCATCTGACAAATCTGCAACTCCTTTGATTTGCCCGCTTTTGGTATACTATATATTTTTCGATCGCCGTACTGGCTACATTCATCCATCAATCCATCCATCCATTCATCCATTCACTTCGCGAGATGAAAATGTAATAGATTTCATTTCATAATCATTTTATTTTATTTTATTTCTTTTTTTTGATTTTCTTTTCCTTCTTTCTTCTCTTGTGAAGTTCTGAGTTACACGGGAAAGCGTCGCTTCCGATCTCGGAGAAACTATTGAGGCCGATAGAGCTCACACAGATTTCCTCCGTGAGTTTTGTGGGTTTGTTGTTGTTTGTGTCTCAATAGGTTGCGTTCGAATAACTCAGGAAAAAAAAAGTTGGAGCAGAAAAACATGTATGTACCGTATGTATGTACGTATGATGTACAGTATGCATGTATTGCCCACATGATTCATGAAATGCACGCAAAAATGGGGATCCCGCAAAGGTACTAAAAAAAAAAAAAAAAGATGGCAAAAGCAATCACGAGTTATGATCAGATTTTGCAAAATATTCAGATAGAATTTTTTTTTTTTTTTTTGAATTGCCCGTAGCCAGGTTAGATCGTCAGTTTATTAATCAAAAGAATACATAAGTACATATTCATTCGAGCAGCATGGTACATACTACAATTAAACTATCTATCAAATCTAACTAACTCTTCATCAGCAGATGCCTCTAAGTTTGGCCTTGGGAACAATTTGTCACTCCATAGTAAACTTTGGATAAAGACCTTCCTGGTCTACACATCATTACCAACAAGTTGTTACTGTTGATTA